GTAATTCAAAGAAAGTAGGGAAAAACCAGCTCTGTTATTGCACACAAAAGTCATGAAAGAAATTCAGCTTAATATTTGGCAACAGCATGCACTAGTGCACTTTTTTCTGTTTTGACTTGAGAAGAGCAATACAAATTTAGAAGACAAAAGAACTCGCAATACTCCCCCCTCATTAGAAAAATGAGCATTTCCTGATCAATACCCTGATTTAAAAAAAAAATATTTTGCATCACTGACAGAGAAAACAAGAAATTAAAAAAAGTTACTCAAAAAAATCTACACTACACATTCTGGACAAGTCACAGTTAGCTTATCCATGGAATCAAATATTATTAGGTGTTTCCTATGAATTTAAATTTTGTGTTTAGGATTGTAAGAAATAACCTTATCAAAACTGGTAGTGATTTTCTTTGCCCATGGCATTAGTGGCAAACCTGTGACTTCAATTAATCTCTCTTTGACGTGAATGTTTCAGGACATTCTGATAACAAACACATTCACACTTCCAGTTATCACCGGTGAACACTTTTACTGAAGCTTTGTTAATGTCGCATCTCTGCTTTGGAACATTCCATTCCAGCTTTGCAGAATAAAACCTAAGCTCTTATTTTAAGGAAAAGAAAACAAAACAAATCAAGACATTTCATACTATTCACAAAAAGTCAAATTTTACAGCTTCCATACAACTCAGATTTGAAAATGCATCTTCTTTTATTGATCATATCCCAAGGTCTTTACATGCCTGATGATCAAAAAGGAGGGAAAACATGTCCCTCATTGCCTGAGGGATATCTTTCCTTATTTTACCTTGCTGATGTTTCATATTCCTCAGCCTGTCTGTCATTTGAGGCATCTTTTCTCACGTACAGTTAAACTCATTGAAACTTCTGGAGACACTGTGTTGCTTTTCTTCTTTTTTACTATTTCAGTTAAGGCAATTCCTTCCTTTCAATTCATTAATGCATTAGGACTAATCTAGGTTAATTTGTGATGCATTTGAACCGGAGGAATTCTGGTTATACACCTTTATATAGAGACTGCAGTTGAGAGAAATATCAGATCCACTTCATGGAGGCTAACAGATCTTCTGGGGACTTCTTGTCATTTTTGGGGACTTCCCTTGACTGTAGTCACCACATCTTTAGCTCTTTAAACTTAATTTTACAAGCCAATAAAATACCACCTTTTGATTATTTAATTTTTGTAAAAGCTTAACATCCTAGAGCAACATTAATATTTTTTCTGAACACACAGTGTGGCACTCTGCCATTAGTTTGATAAAACAGCATAAAATGACAGCCACTATAAAAGAAGCCTGATCAACAACCTCTCTATTCATATGAGCAAAAAAAGTCTTGAACAAAATAAATAATTAATGCAGAGGGGCTTAAAACCTTTTCTTTTTAAGACTAAGTTAAGCCACAAAATTCAGACTTGGGTCTACAATTTAAAAGTTCTTTTTAGGATTAAGTAAGTCCCATGTTAAATCTCCTCCACAAAACTCAGATATCCACCTCTGGGTAGTCTCCCACTTCTAACTGCCCCTATTTCCATGCAACCTTTGAAGTCTTTCCAACAGCAAAACCTTATTTTCTCCTATGCCTTCTAGAAATCAAAATAGGAGAACAAAAAGGAAATTCAGTAGGAAATTTGACAAATTCAGAAAGGTTAAGTAGAATTGATGAAAAAATTACCTAGAAAATCAGTTATTCAGTGAGGGGCACAAGTTTCATTTTATGTATTCAAATTATTTGGAAACATATTTTAAAGATATTTCACAATGGTGATTCTCCTTATCCTCTATTTGATAAGAATCCCTTTGCAAAAACCTTTGTGGTGTCCAGTGCAGTAGCACAGACTTCAAAGCCAGCTCTACTTAAAGTAGGAAGCTGAACTTCCTGAGTTCTCCTGACTTCTCTTTCAACATAAATCATCCTGTGGTCTTACATATACAAAACTAAGTAGGGGGAATAAAAAATAAAATGTTTAAGATTTTTGCTCATTTTCTTGGGGAGCTTTATGTTTTTATTTTGAGGACATTAGTCAGGGATGGGGGGTGTTTAGTACATTTTTTGAAAAAACATTTTTTTATTTGTAGCCTAGCTATAGTTGTTTTCCTTATCTACAGTCCCAGTCTTCCCAGAAGAGGGAGTTTGATCTTTTGCTACAGTAATCTAAGAATGAGCAACTGCAGGTTCCAGATATGACACTTGCAGGTTTCTCTTTGATGAGATTAAAAGAGAAACATGTGTGCCACGTTGTCACAGGTTAAAGTGTTACAAGACCACAGGCTATAGCTCACTCAGTAGGAAGAAGACTTATGACATTTGAAAAAGCCATTTTAACAAAACTCAAGCATAACAACATGGAAACCAAGAGGAAAAAAAAAATCAAAGTTGAAATGAAGCATTTTAATGAAACACAGAATTGACACATTTTGACAAAATTTTTGTCTGGAAGATGAAAAGTCTTGAAACGCTCAGAGCAGGGATGCTAAATAAACCCTGTTTCTGGTGGCTGGTTTATACTGATTACAAGTGAAGTATGATCAGGTTACTGAAGAAATTACATGATGGGGTTGACTGCAACAGCAGGAGTATGGCCTGGTGACCTATAAGCTTTCCAGCCCACTTTTATTCTTCTAGGAAAGAATGCATTTATTCTACAAAAGTATTGGATAACATTGCCAATATTTGACAGGGGATCCCTCGTTACTCAAGCTAAATGTTAGCAGATACATCATCAACAGCACATTCCCCATCAGGAACAGCCTAAGCAATGCCATGAAACTTAAATGTGCTGGACTTGTTCAAAAAGCTTGATTGACATCAACCAGCGCTGGCAATGTGCAGCCCAGACAAAAGAGCCCTCATTGCTTATTTCAGCTTTCAGAAATTTACTGTTGCATTTAAAAAATTGCTTCTTTCTGAAGCTACCTCCAAATTCACCCTTCAGCCATTCTCTTTCTAATCCAAACACAAACCTAAGTTTTGGCAGTGCAAACCCAGAGTCTTTGAAGATGATAATACTGTGCTTGACTAATGTGTCAAATACTTTTTACACTCCTCAGGTTATGCAAATAACAAACATTTCTGCCGCTGAGTGCTACTTACCAGCATGGTATTAATTTTTTTTTTCTCTCACCAGAAGGAAGATAACCACATTACTGAACAAAATGTTGTTGCTGTCCAGCTGCAGCAGAAAGTTCAATTATCTTCCTTCCAGGCTTGACATCCTTAGAACAAGTGCATGTGCACGCACGTACACTGAGATATATCACATTATGCCAGCACACAGAAATGGATCTGAACTGGACCTGTCTTTTCCTCTTTTGAAAAGAGACAAGGCTCAAATATAAGATAAATTTCAAAACTGACTAGAAATGTACCTAACTCACGTTAACCTTCTTCATTCATGCCAAAAGAGAGGCTCCTTTTGGGCCACAGGTATGTCCAGCAGATCCATGACAATGTCAAGCCAAAGTCCTCCCTTCCTTACATACTCTAAATAATATAATTTTGAAAGAAAATCTCAACAAAACAATTTTTATTTTCAGAAGGTATAAAAAGGATGTTTCAGCAGAACATAGCCTCACTATCATGTGGCTGAAAAATGCTCTGGAAACAATCCAGTCAGAATCCAACCAGAGTAAGCATCTTCTAATAAAGAAAAGCAAGTCTGTGCAACCAACACAAAGAAAGAAACATAAATATTGTCTGCACCAGATAAACACTATGGGGCTTTTCTTCTTGTCAGATGCAGCTTAATCTGGGAGTCTTTTTGGGGTTTTGTGTCGAATCTGCATGGATTTAACCTTTACTCTTGAGAGAGTAAAGCCAGAGTCCCCTGTAAAAACCAGGTCAGACAGGAACCACCCTGTCCTGTTGTTAATCAACTGTCCTTTCCCACACTTTTAGGATACAAACTACCTTTTTCTTTGACATATACACAGCTTCTATATCGACACACGCACATAAAACTTGGCTGAGGTAAAATCTGCCTGTACCACTACAAGCTCTGCATTTTACCATTAAAGGTCAAGCTAAGGACAAAAAAAACCAAACACAAAGCAACCTGTAATGGGAGCTCCACAACACAGAGAACTACAAAGCAACAGGAGCCTTTAGAAACAGATTTTCACATGGAAAAGCACAAGAGAATGAATTAAAAAGCACAACGACTAGAAAAACAAGCATTGTTCTTCAAAAAAAAAACAAAACAACTAAAATCTAATTTTAAAGAGTACCCAAAACCAGAAGATTTTAATATGCTACAGTTTCCAGGTATATGAACAAACACAAGAGATTGGATATGACCCTTTGTTGTACGTCACTTCATTTAAAAACACAAGTTAAACATAATTAAATGGATTCACCTTAAAAAAATTCATCTTGGATAATATTTTGGGCATAGTTTATTAGTCAGAGAATTTAGAAAGGGAAACAGTGGAGGTTTATGCAGAAGTTATTCTGACATGTACTGGCCAATGTAATAGAAAGTTACTTTGTCTCCACAGTACTGCCTGAAAGTACATCTTTATTATTTATGCAAATAGACAACAAATCACTTGTCAAAGTGAAAAACTAATCAACCTTCACATAAACTGATATAAACTATTTCCAAGGAGATTATAATCTCTTCAGTGCCATGCAATGTGCATTTATTTCCTTTTGAAGGAACCACTTTGCACTTTATACCGGGTTTCCTTTTAGATTATGTAATTTGATGTGTTTCTGAGTCAAAAGCAGGGATGCTTTGGCTCTAAGCAGGGACAGTATCATCCCAGACCATAAGGAATCGCGTGCCCTGCTGGAGCAGCACACGTTTCACAGGAGCAGGGGCGGGTGACGTGGTTTATCCTCCCAGCAGGGCGTCGCTGCGCGTAACGCACAGCTGCAGTGGCCCAGCAGGGACCGGCTGACTACAGGCAAAGGGTCATCTCACATGGCAAGGGCAGCCTCCAGCACGGGTTGCAAAGAGAAGAAAAATGTTTGACGTACTTGGATCTGACAAGATTGAGTCGGTTTTCGGCAAAAATTGGTCACAGCGGACTCCTTGGTAGCCCTCTTTGCACCTGGGGAAAAGGGGATAAATGACAAACATACGCATGCGGTAGTAAAAGGTTAATCTTAAGGTACCAAACCAACCCTGCCAACTCGCAGAACTACAATATGCAAGTTGCTTTGGCTGTAGTGGGAGCATGGTTATTACTGGAACACAATGGAAGCAGGCGAAACAATCTGTATTTCAAAAAATTTCCCTTCAAACCTTCAATTATTTTAGAAACTATTTATGAAAATAAACATCATTATTTTAAATATCAATTCAGTGAAACAACCAAAGAAAAAACCTGAATAAAATATGCATATTTGCAAGTAAAATAAACCCTTCAGGTAACATAGCAATTTATAAAGCTTCCATACTGCATGAACCATAAGACAGACAACTTATCTTTTTCTGTCTGAAAAAGCAGGGAACAGTTAGCTAGCCATTAATTTTAATGCCAGTTTATGCTGTGCTTAAAAGAGAAAATGATAGGCATCATCAGGCATTGTTTGCAAGCAGGAAGTTTAAGATGCCTGTAAGATTAGATTTTAAAGTACATAAACCAGAACACCCTCCTGCCTCAACAAACAAGGACTGGCTTTGACTGAGATTGTAATACTATTATTTATCTTGAAGCCTTACTTTGAAAGAATTCCATTTGCTGCTTTTGAACTGTTCTCAGAAGTCTCATTTCAACTAAGTGTATCAGAATCAGATCTTTAATTATTTATTTGTCAAGCAGTTTTTCAGAGGAAAGTGATGGACACTTTAATTATAAATGATAGCACCAGGGATTCCTTATCTCCCAAAGCTCTTGCACATCACTTAAGCAATATGCTCAAATCAGCATCACCACCTTTCATTAGGGTTGACAACTGCAGCTTGAATGATGTGATAATGTCAGGAGAAGAAGCTATCTGTTCCTTCACAATGTTTGTAGTCAGGCTTCCTCTAAATGTTGCCTTTTAATATGCATTTGGTTTTATAAATTAATGGTTCAATGAGAAGTGCATCTCACCAGCATTGACTCGGGGATTAGCAACATTTGTGAGAAAATATGTAAATTATGTTCCCATCAGACACAAAAATATAGTAAAAATCTGCAGTAAGAAAAAGATTTAAAACCCCCATACATATAATATTTCAAAACCTCCCTTTTGGCCTTTCTCCCTGATGGATATGAGATATGAGATATGCTTTGGAGATCAACTTCCTCCCAGTACTCTCCTACCTATAAAATAACTGACTTGAAAAAACTGTTCAGGTTTGGTTTCATTCAGATCCCATGACAGTGGTCATAAGTTATCAGTCAAGGAAAAAAATGTTTTATTAATTAAAACAGTCCACTAGTCAGAAAAACTGAAGTAGTTCACATATACTCAGACACTGCTACATGCATCTTTTGCCTCTGATTAGGAAACATCAGAAGCTGCCTCACATCAAAAAGTCTTCACAGTCTTGAGAGGAGCTGGTAGACATACTGCACTGGTGGGGATCCTTGCCTTTCTGTGAGCATTTTCTATTAACTTTTTGACACACATTTGACCTGACTTGGTTATAAATACCATATTACAGACTTAAGATCCTCCACCCTAAAATGTCGGTCATAAAAGCATATGAGGAGAGTGTCACAGAGTGGTATCTCCTGGAAGAGCTGTGCCATGTGTTCATCAGTGGGTGTGGACATTTTCACTTACCTGTACCTCTGAAAAACAAGCCACAAGTGGAAAGTGTTTCTTTCAAAATTTAGTACAGAGGTGGATGATATACCAAAGAATAATCTTTTAATGTAACACCATAACCTTACACTCAGATAATACCTACTATGGTGAGACTACACCTTGAATCCTGTGCCCAGTTCTGTGGCCCTCGATTCAAGAGGTGCTGGAGTGAGTCCAGACAAGGGCAAGGGAGCTGGTGAAGAGAGTGGAGCACAAAGGAGGAGTGGCTGAGGGAATTGTGGTGGCTTAGCCAGAGAAAAGGAGGCTCAGGAGACCTGACTGCTCTCTACAGGTCCCTGAAAGGAGAGTGCAGTGAGGTGGGGGTTGGTCTCCTCCCAGGTAAGAAGTGACAGGATGAGAGGGAATAGCCTCAAACTGCACCAGGAAAGGGTTAAATTGGGTATTAGGAAAAAATTCTTTACTGAAACTGTGGTCAGGCTTTGGAATAGACTGCTGTGGGAAGTGGTGGAGTCAGCATCCCTGGAGGTACTTAAAGCTGTGTAGCTGTGGTGCTGAGGGACATAGTTTAGACATGGGTTTGGGTTAACAGTTGGATTTACTGATCCTAGAGAGGTTTTTCAGCTTCAGTTATTCTACAACTTGATGGCCAAACATAGTTTGGTTTTTTTAACTGCATTAAGTTTTTCAGCAAAGAGAAAAATTAAGTTTTCTAGTTCCCTTAACAAATTCTTTTTTAAATCTGTGAAAACAAATAATACCAATAATTACTCTGCCATTGACACTCAAGTTCAAACGTTTACATGTTAAGTCCTTAAGAATTTCAGAATATACATTTGGCAGTTTTAATGCTACAATATGAAAAATTTGATCATGTTGTGGCATCCCATAATCTTTAGGACACTACTCATGTGTCCTAAATAGGCAGATGTGATATGCACACACAATGCTCATTGGTATCACACCTCCACAAAAGAAAGCACCACAAGCCACTGCAGAAAACCCTATGAGAGCAGCACTGTGGTGACACATACAGAAATTCAGGAAAGTCCAAATGAGGTCTCTCAATATCACCATATGCAGTGTGAATGATCAAATACATATTTATGGATGCATTAAGAAAGCCATGAGTTACCAGAGAAACCTTGAGAAATGCTTAGGTGCTGCTCATGGTTTCAGAAATGATCAATTGATTCTGAGACAAACAAATGTTTATTAGAGATACTATAAAAAAATAAAAAAGAAAAAATAGAGCAGAAAAATAAACTGGATAAGATATTGCTTGTAGACAAACAAAAACTCTGATGTGCATGTGGGACCCCTGCAGCAAAGGCTGGAAAGGACAGCCTGAGATCCATTCCAGCAGCAGGAACAGCTCCTCTGCTGAAGCACTGCACTGTATCAGCAGGCCTGGGCTCCAGCACACACCATGGCAAAGGGGTCTAAATATGGTGTTAATTGCAGCCTCTCTGCAAAGTAAATATGAAAAAGGAATTCTCTATTTTGCATTCAGATTTTCATTGAAATGAGTGTGTCTGCCTAGGCTCCAGACCAAAATTATTACCAGGATTGTATTGCACGAATGGAATTAGTTAAATCCTTCTGATTAAACGGTATGAAAAGACAAGTACAAGGTAAAGATAATCTGCACTGCTAAAATGCTTATATGCAAACAGCATATCCTTAACTGATAAGTGCTAAATTCAACTAAGATTATTTCATCATGTCTTCTTCACATCTTTTTTTGGCAATGTACTTTCCCAGGTGATTTTTTTTAAGGTCACCAGTAACAAACTGCATTGTGCATTGCACTTGGTGAAGTCAGCCACAACGACTTCTGTGTGAAAACATACACACAGAAACACATCTCTCATTCCTCGTGAGAAGGCTTTCTTCCCTTTTTACTTCAGCACATTTGCACCTAAGTATTAAAAAGTAAGTACAGAACTAGACTTTATTCATTATTTCATTCTTTTTGCTAATGTTAAATAGTACTGATACATGTATGTTCTAATCAAGGAGATCACAGACTCTTTCTGTGGACATTTTCCAGAACTGTTTCTTTGTACAACCTTGTGGAGCCACAGGAGATTTCAGATAGATAACTGTGTCACTCATAAGATTAACACAGCACTCCAATTTCCTAGGTTTCAGGTTGGATGCATTTGAAAAATTAAAGTGGATGGGGGTGAGGGTGGGGAAAATTTTGCAACAAACAAAAATGAAGAATAAAATAGATTTAAGACAGCAGAAAGGGAAGAAAGAGAACCTACTTAGAAGACTTAGGGTAGGACATAAAACTTAGGGCCAAGAAGCCAATACTATCACAATTTACATTTCCCCCAAACATTTCCATATAGAGTTCCACATCCCTATTAAGCCAAAATATTTACTTGTCAAGGGACAGCAAGGTAGAGAATGCAGGAGAGAGAGTGGCACCAGCAAACTGCAGAGGCTACGAAAGATGGCAACACTATGAATCCCCATCCCTTTCCTCCTTCTCTGTGATATCCATCCATCTGAAATGGAAACAATTCTCCCTCTTCCCCAAAAGTGAAGAAGTATGCAGAAAATAGTTTTTCTCAAACAAAGAATTTGGCAAATGTAAAATATGTGAGTAAATTTCAAATGAAAATTTTGAAAATGACATGATAACTCAAGGATAGACTATACCAGAAGTGAAAGCTATAGGATTACACACCAGGAAAACAAGCATGTCCTAGGCCAAAGGTGATTTGTGACTTAAAAAAAAAAAAAAACAAAAAAACCCAAGGCCCAAAAGATTAATTTATATGAACCTGTAATCTGATTCTAGTCTCATGAACAGGAGTAATCCAATTTGAAAGATGGAATTAATAGTACCTATGAAAAATGAAATTCAATTTTTGCAGTGAATCCAAATCCACACACATTTCCACCCCCTTGTAAAACTGCAAATTGGCAGTCTCAAAGATGATATTAATTAGAATGATCCATCTCAGTGGATCAGTTGCAAATGATTTTCTCCTAACACCATTATACCCCCTGTACTAAGATTCAGATGCCAATAAGAGAAAATACTGCAGCTCTTATTTATTCTCTCTCTAAGAGAGAAACCCAAGATCATGATAAAAAATATTCTAATGGTCTATAATTTTTGATCAGGTATTTATTTGCACACAGAGAATGCAATACTCTTTATCCTGGGTCAGAGTCAGTTACACAATAAATCTATGACAGAAAGCTATGACATTATATAGGCCATTGGGCTATGCTGTAAACAATGAAAAATAATTCCTTTCCTCTGCAGGTAAGCTAAATATAGATTTCTGTGCCTGCAATGAGAATGACCTTAACTGCAATACACAGA